AGAGCTTTTGGAAATGGCTTATGAAGAGAGATAGGAAAGGTTTCGAGATATCGCCTACTAGAGAAGAGCTAGAATGCCTTCGGTTCTTTTGTATAGGAGATTCTGCTCAGAGCTCAAAAAACCTAATACTGATAGAAAGCCTGCCTGTAAAGACCAGGCTGGGGAGGTTTCTGCTGGGAAGGACTGCATTGGTTGGTGTATTCCAGATGATTTGTGTTATGGCTTGGCAGAAAGTTTTTTGCATTTTGCTCCTGTCCAGAGACTTTGCCTAAGACTGAGGTTAAGCACACTGGATGAGTTAATCTTGCAAAAGAAATCTCACAGCAGTTGAATGTTGGGGCAGTGGCATGGTTATTGTTGGGGGCTTTTATTCAGATTTATGTTGAGACTTGAGCAAAAAGCCCAGCAAGATTTAAAACGTGAGTTTGGCCAGAAAAGAAGCACCAGGAAGACTATGGACTGCAAAGATAGAGCTGAGATCTCCACTGTCCAGGAGGAACAGACCAGAAAAGATGTCCTGAGGGTATCACAAGAGGTGGTAGGTTCTCACCCTTTGCAGTCACAGAACTGCAAGGGTGAGGGAACTTCGCCTTGAGAAGAAAGCTGCTGAGCCCCATGTTCTAAAATGAAGGCAGCAGCCATACCAGATTCCAGAATGGCACCAGCAGAGAATTTGTTCCTAGGAATCATGTTCAGAGTGCTCACCAATCCAGACAATAGATCCCTCCAGCCAAGAGTGAAGAAAGCCTGGCTACTGCTCCAGCTGGCAACAGATGTTGGCATCATCCACATGACATTGGTTTTAGGCACATGCAGAATGCAGGAGTTCTGACATTAATAATGCTTCCACCTAGATTTCAGAGGACCTGGGAAGCCAGGCAATGTGCCCCTGAGAGGGAGGTCACATAGTAACCCTGTAAAGCTATGAGAAGCCTATTCTATGGAAATTCCAAAAGTCTGAAAAAGCCAGCAGCCTGTATTGTCTGAAAAAAGCTGCAAGGAAGCAGCAAAGCCAGCTCCAGAGAAAAGCCATGGGAAAAAGCAGCAGAAGTGCTGTAGGGGTGGAGCCATGTAAGGCTTTTGGACCTTACAACTCTTTACAGGTTGCTTCAGATGTTCTACATGGAACTACAGGACTTAATATTTATCCTTTTGGATTTTGGACTTGTTCTGCTCCCAATGGTTTGTATCATGTTATGTATACCTTTTGGAATGGTCATGTTTATTTTGTACCTTTGAATGTTGGAAGTGTTGAACTTTTCATTTGTACAGGGGCTCACAGCTAAGAGCTTGCCTTAAATCTTGGAGGAGACTTGGGACTTGGACTTTTCAGCAATGCTAAAACCGTTAGGACTTTGGCAGCTCTTAGAGATAAGACTAAAATGCCTTTTGCATAAAGGGATGTGCCTGAGTCTTTGAAGGGGTGCTCAGGGGCAAAATGTCATGGTTCTAATGTAACACAACGTTCAACTTGTAAAATATTAATAAGCATGTCTATGTACCTGGAAACTGGTTTAAGGAAATGTCTGCTTGACAAGGGGTGGATTGTACTGGCTGATACACCGTGTCAACTTGAGAAGTTTAGGAGTTTAATTAAGTAACTCAGCAGAGAGCCAGGGTTCTTAGTTGTAAACATCCTTATCCTGGGCAAGAGGAGGCATGGATATTGTGTGAGTGCCATAACCCCAGGACCAGGGCAGCTGGTTTACAAAGGGAAAAGGTCTGGCCTAAAGCCAGAGCTGCTGCTCTTCCCTTTGCTCTTGGCTGTTTTCTACCATGATTTGCTGCCCTCTACCATGTGCCATTCTGCCTGGGAGCCTGCCGACTACAGACTGAAACCTCCACAAATTGTAAGCTAAATGAACCTTTCCTTCTTTAATTTTAGGTGTTGGGTATTTTGTCCTAGAAACCAGCAAAAAGTAACAGAGAGGCAGATTATTATGTCCACAATTCAGATTGGAGGCTGGAATACAAATAGGTTAAATGTCTTGCCTGAGGTAACGTCTGTTATAGATTATTCAGGACTAGCAAGGAGCCCAAAACTCCAAACCTTGGGCCCAGTCACTGAGCTATGGTTCTTGGTGACAGACCAAATCCAAAAACAAAGAATGCTGGGGCTGGTGAGATGGTTCAGTGGTCTAAAACACCTACTTAGAACAAGCTAAGCCAAGCAAAGCACAGGGACCTGGGTTCAATCCCCCAGCACCACATGCCAGCCCGCCCGCCCCCTGGTGGGCTGAGCTGGCCACACACAAAATAAATAAATAAACAAAAACAAAGAATGCTGAGCTGGGGAGACTGGAAAGGAGGAAGAAAAGTTCCAAAATATGTTAATAGGATGTCCCCAAACCAAAACCAAGCCAGTGACTCTCAAATGACAAAATACTGGGTGTGTCTGGGCATATCTGGAAAAAGATTCTCCGGCTTTTCTGAAAATCTGAATTGGATTAATGGTCAGTACACATTAAACTAAGTAAACTATAAGTCAATTACTAACTTTAGGGCAAATAAGCTATATAGAAAATATAATCATAGTACCTTATTGGCACATTTAAGAATAAAGAGTACTATGATGAATGTGATCACTGTGTATATCTAAAATGTACCAATAAAATCCAATTAAAAAATAAAGAATAAGAAGCACCCATAAAGTAATGCAATCAGAGGGGGTAAAAGCGTGCTTCATAGCTAAACCTACAGCAGGACTTCTGAAAGAAAAAAAATTCAACCACAAAAAATGGCAGCTGGTAATGTAGCTCAGCAGCACAGTGCCTGCCTGGCACACGGGAAGTGCTGAGCTCCATTCCTGGTACCAAAAAAGAAAAAAAAAAAAAAATCTCCATATGAAAGTACATGAGGCTTTGGGAGGACATCTACACACAAAAAATGGCACTGCTGGCTGTGATAGTGAATGCCTGTAATCCAAGCACTCTGGAGACGGAAGCAGGAAGTTGGATAGCTAAGGATCTGAGCCCAAGGATACAGTGATTTCAAGGCCAGCCTGAAGTACAAGGTGAGAGTCTGTCTCAAAAGAGGGAAGGAAAAACAAGTTTTGGACACTCTGAAATGAAATCTCAATACCTCCTAAATGACATTTAAAATTTTGTACACAGTGATAGAACACTTGCCCTGCGCGTCCAGGGTCTCAGGTTCAATTCTCAACACAAGGAGAATAAAATGCCCTAACTGAAGTTTTTATATATTCAATTCACCCTTCAGGCCCTAAATTCTATGGTTTTTGACAAATGCAAACTGTTTAACTTTTAGATGCTCTCTTAATCCAAGCATTTGAAAGCTACTGTATAGGTAATAAATGCACACCTGCACACCTGATGTGTTCCAATAAAACTTTATGAAATTCTGTATTCCGTATCACAGGCCACACAGAAAGCATCCAACTGAATCAGGCCCATAAGCTGCAATGTGCCAACTCCTGTCCCAAAGTAAATGCAGAGAGCCATGGCAATTCTGTCCAGAAGCTGTACACAGCAGAGGCCTATCAATGAGGTTCCAAACAACCCATATACCCCAAAGAGCAGAGACAGCTGCTGCATCGAGACAGACTTCACATACACATCTCTAGATTGATTTTTGGTTTTATTTTTGCAGTGCTGGGGATGGAAACCAGGTCACACCCATGCCAGACAAGTTCTTCCCAAGCCAGGCACACTCCCAGCTTAAAGACTAATGTTTTAGCCCTTTTCTTTCCACTTGCTTTCTCACTTCCATATTGAAGAACCACAGCTAGAAACACTGGAGGAGGGAAAGAATAAGTGAAGGAGAACCGAAGTGCAGAACCAGGTAAGAAACCATTGCACTTCCAGATTTCTCCACTACAGGACCACATTCCCAGCCCCACAAGACAAACTGCAGATGTCTAAACTTTGTAATATCTGAGGCTAACTGAAAACCATGGAAACCAGCCAGACTCAGGCAAGCGAGGGAAACCATAATCCACTAGGTTTACAGCCCATTCTGGTAAGGGATGAAGTTGCGCTTTCAGCTCCGCTAAAGATCTTCTCACTCACTAACCTAAGGACTTTCACCGAGGTATGTAAACAACTCTGCTCAATCGAAACGGAAACAAAAGAAAAAAAGGAAGTAATAAAAATGGGCAAGCGGTATGAATAGGCAATCCAAAAACAACAAAAATAATAAATGCGAAAAATCGCTCCACTTGCCAAGCAGTCGAGGAAATGAAAGTAAAACCGGGTATCACTTCACACATACTGACACATACACGTACGCACACGCACACAGATGCGGACCCCACGTTGAAGAAAAAAAACAACAAAACATTACAGAGCGATTCTGAGGGGAACTGGCAACGATTCTGATTCCGGGGTAAACGAACGAAAGAAGCGGCGACAACGTGTATTCAAGCACGAGCAGAGGTCGGTTTTCGCCTAAGCACGTCAATAGCGCCAACGGCTACTCAAACTTTTCAGGATACAAGTACCCAGGTGAGGACACCACGCCCATTATTTTAAGGACTGGGAAGCCAAAACCCCAGGCTGCGACCCCTCCCTTCCACCGAGGCGACGCCGGGGCCGCGGAGCGGGCTCCAAGAATTCGCAACGGACGCGAGCCGGGAGCTGGAGAGCCAGGGACCGGGACCTGAGCCTCGGCGCTGCCGCGGCGGGGGCTGAGGGCGCCCAAGCCTCACCCCGGACCGCGACCCGCACCCACGAAGCCAGGCCCCGCCCCCGCCGGTGAACGAGCCCCGCGCCCGACGGCCGGGCAGGTCCGCCGCCAAGACCTCGCCCCCGAGCGACGGCGGCGAGGTCCGAGGTCGACACAGAACCCTCGGCAGAGGCCAGGGACCCACCCCGGCCCGCCGCCACCGAGACGCCCCGCCGACGGCAGCGAGATGGCCGCCCCTTCTCGGGTCCCGTCGCGGCCCCGGCCGCCGCTCTCGAGCCCATAGCGCCACCCCCCTCGCTGGTCCGCCCGCCCGCCCTCCGGGGACCCGGCCTGCTCCACCCCTCGCGGCTGCTCACCGCGCTGAGGCGGATCCCGCTGGGTGGCTGCGCCGCCATCTTGAGCGACCTACAAAGCCAGGACCGGCCTCAGTCACAATCCGACTGGAAGGCGGCGGGGCGATCTGAGGGGGGTGCGGCGGTCCGCCTACTTCCGGGGCGGGTCTACTTTGGGCCCCGCCCACTTGTTTCCGCCTCCAGGCAGTGACTTGCAGGCCTAGGGAGGGCGGGGCGTACTGGCCGCTAGCTTGTGGAGCGCAGGCGTGAAGCGCGAGCCCATTGGCTAAGCAGCTGGACTTTGCGGGTGAGGGTGGGCTTTGAGGCCTGCCTCCGGGTTTTGTGCGACCACGGTTAAGTGTATTCGAAGCACTTGACTTACTGTGGCTGCATTGAAAAATAGCATTTTATGTCCGCTATTGTCTGTAAATAGAGGACAGTAAACAATTAATATGCTGTTTGGATTTACCTGAAAATATGATCTGGTTGTCTGTACCCTCATAGAGCCCTTTTGCTCCCGCGCATTTACTCGGTGTCGTCGTCGAGCCCGGTGTTAGACTAAGTGAGGCGGGTGCAGAAATGAGTCTGGCAGGGGCTGCCAAATGCTGCAGGGAAAGAAGTTAGGTTTTCCGAAATCTCAGTTACAATTTTCTGATTACAAAGGTAATGCATTTTGTATATAACCCCCCCCAAAAAAAAACAAATCAGGGGGCCGGGGAGATGGCTCAATGGAGTAAGCGCTTCCCTGGCAAGTGCAAGGGCCTGAGTTCAATCCCCGGTTCCGCAAAAGAATAAAATAAAAAATAAAAGCCAGATGCGGTGGTGCACACCTGTAATCACAGCACTCAGGAGGCTGAGGCAGGAGTAACACCATGAGTTCAAGGGCAACCTAGACTACATAAGCGAGTTCAAGGTCAGCTTATACTACACAGTGAACCCTGTCTCCAAAAAACAAATAAAACATAAAACTTACCTCCAATAGCCAGGTGAAATGGCTTGTAATCTCAAGAATTTGAGAGGCTGAGGCAGGAGGATCTAAAATTAGAGCCCAGGGGACAACCTGCTGGAGACAGAGGGCTTTTTCCCTTTCTTGGACAGAAGCTTTCTTTTCCACAATAAATACATTCTGCTCTTAAAAATAATAAATATTTTTTAAAAAAAGACAAAAATTTAAAGTTTCTTGAAAATAAGTGATAATATGCAACAATATGCCCAATCTTACATAACTATATCTGTTAATCTGAACAACAGAGTTGACAATAAAAATAGATAATAACCATTGTTAATCAACTATTATTGGTTTGAAAATCTGTAACATGTACTGTTGTATGTTGCCCTGTTTCTGTCTTTGTTTCTGATTTTTGTTCTTGCTTTTGCTTTTGTTTCAAAATTAAATTAAATAAATAAGTATGTAAGGGGCCAGGGAGATGGCTCAGTAGGATAAGCGTTTGACTGGCAAACGCAAGGATCTGAGTTCAATCCCCGGTTCCGCCAAAAAAAAAAAAAAAAAAGAGTATGTAAAATTAGAGTCCAGCATGGGCAGTTTAGAAATTTATCAAGACTCAGTTTCAAATTAAAAGGGGAGGGGCAAAGCCCTTAGGTTAAAAATTAACCTGGCTATGGTGGCCCATGCCTGTAATCCCCGCACTCAGGAGGCTGAGGCAGGAGGATTGCTGCAAGTTCAAGACCAGCCTGGGCAACATTGTGAGTTTAAGAGCAGTCTGAACTATCCAGCAAGACCCTGTCTTAAAAAAAAAAAAAAAAAATTGAATTGCCAGGTATGATGGCAATTAGGCAAGTAGGATTGGCCAGCCTGCACTACATGGTGAGATCCTGTCTCAAAAACAGAAAGAAAAGAAAAAATATGTCCTAGTCCTCTTCCCTAAACAATGTAAACAACAGTCTTTCTGTTGTTACTGTTGTTGTCTTATTGAGAAAGGTTCTTGCTGTGCAGATCAAAATTCACTTTGTCACTGAGACTGGCCTCAAACTCACAGCGATCCTCCTGCCTCAACCTCTCAAGTATGTTGAGATTACAGCTGTGTGCCACCATACCTGCCCTGTTTTCTTGTTTTGTTTTGCTTTGCTTTGCTTTGTTTTTTGTTGTTTAGCCAGGGTCTGGATGTGTATTCCATGCTGACTTTGAACATACCCTGTACTCCAGGCTGTCCTTGAACACATGTTGATCCTCCTGCCTCAGCCAGTTGCTGAACTTACAGGCATGTGCTACCTCACCTAGAGAAACTTCACTCTGGATTTTTATGTTATTTATTGGGTGCATATTTGGGTTCTCATTTTGCAGAAGTAGCAGAATTGAGCAGGGGAAGGGGGCTGGGGTTCCTTGTGTTTTTCTCTTTTCCTTGAGGGTGAACCTGCCCTGGGCCTTACAGCTGGTTGTATTACTTCTTCCCTGACACAATATATGGGAGGACCCTTTGAGGGTCTGGTCAGGTCCTCAATGACACCATTGTGAAGTGAAGACAGCAGAGCTGGAGAGGCCATGGAGAAAGATAAGGGCACTCATCACCAGTGTTTTTCTTTGTTCACCATGCACCTGGTGGATGTAGGTCCTAGGGAGGTACTGTGGCAAGCCCTGTAGTCCCAGCTCGTCAATGGGAGGCTGAGGCAGCGGGGTTGCTTGAGCCCAAGACTTGGAGCCTGGTACTTGCAGAGTAAGGGGCCTTAGCTTTATATCAGCCAACCAACACATACATATAGGAATGTACAGAGAGCGTGAGGAAGGAAAGAGTGAATGAATGCACATATGAAAACATTAAAATGAAGATATTGGGAGTGAGACAGGAGGTAAGGCAGGGCAAGGCTGGCTGGGACAATGAGCGAGACCTGTGAATCACAAGATCCCAGGGTGGGGGGACAACCTGTATGTAAGACCTCCCTAAAGATGTAGGGTGCAAAAGTGGTGCAGCTGTCACAGCAAGTGCCTTTCCCAGAGGCCCGTGAGCTTTCACTGTTGCTTTTACCCCCTTTTCTCTTTGTTCAGCCTAAGTTCACACTGCATAGCTGGCTTCTTCCATACCCATTCATTCACCCTGCATGCTCCCTTTTTTTCCTTCCCTGAACTGAGGATTGAACTCAGACCCTTGTGCTTGCCAGGGAAGCGATTATTCCACTGAACCATCTCCCCAGCACCCTGCACTCTTTACATGAACTTTTGGCACCACTTTTGGCTGTCTCACTCAGAACAGAAGGACCTGGAATACTTTGGATCAGTGGGCCATTGCTACAGGAACTACCCTGTCACAGGAGAAGGTACAGGAAGTGCCTGCCATATAAGACCCTTGGTTGGATCTTCACCACACACACACACACACACACACACACACACACACACACACACACAAGCACATGTAGACATGAACCACAGAAACAAAACCAAAACTACCACCAAGCAAAAACAATTTCCCCTTTACAAATTAAAATTTAGAAACACACTGGTGCCAGGCATAGTGGTGGTCCACACAGGATCCCAGCACTCAGAAGGCTGAGGCAGGAAGATCACTGTGAGTATGAGGCCAGCGAGGGCTACACAGCAACACCCTGTCTCAAAAAAAGAAATAAAATAAAAAGACATTTTTAGGCTGCCCATCCGCAATCCCAGCAATTTGAGATGTGGAGGCAAGAGGATCACAAATTTCAGGCCAGCCTGGGCAACTTAGCAAAACTTTGTCTTGAAGTAAAAGAATCAGCACTGTAGGTCTGTGGTAGAGCAATCGCCTAGCGTCCAGGAAGTGCGTGGTTCCATCACCTGTACAGCATTTAAGACACAAACAATCCCCGCCTCACCAAAGAGAAACTAAACAATGTGCAGAGGATAAATCCATGTCAGAAAAAACAGCAAAAATACTACTGTTGAGACAGCTCAGCAGACTAAGCGCCTCCTTAGGCAAGCACAGGGACCGGGGTTCCATCCCTGGCACCACATGCCACTTGCTCCCAGGTGCACTGAGCCGGCCACTGAGACTGTGCATGATGGCACATGCCTATAATCCCAGCACTAGAGAAGCTGAAAACAGGAGGATTTCTATGAGTCAGCTGTGTAGTAAGACCCCATATCAAATATATAAAGAAAAAGGGAAAAAGTATAAAAATAAATGAAATGATAACCTTAAAAAATGATAAGCTAAATATTTCACAAGCTAAAAGACAATAACAAAATTATGTAAGACTAAGAAACACTAAAAACTGAGACATTAGAAGGGCCAGGGGGGCCTGCCCCTTAGCTCAGTTCTTTAAGTGGCTGCTTCAACAAAGCAGTCAGGCTCAGGTTGCTGTGGTTCGATCCCCACAACACAAGACAGCCAGTCATGCCTTGAAGGCATTCGGAGCAAAAAAAAAAAAAAAAAGGGCCAGATAGCTTAGCAGATTAAAGCACCTGCTGAGGAAGGCACAGGAACTGGAATTCAATCCCCAGCGTGTGGTACCGGCCCCACCCCTGGGGAGCACTGAGATAACATTTGAGACTGGGCATGGTGATGCGCCCCTGTAACCCCAACACTTGGGAGGCTGAAAACAGGAGGATCACTATAAGTCCCATCTACATAGTAAGACCCTATAAACCCTGTAGATCCTGTACTAAACACACACACACACACACACACACACACACACACACACACACAAACTATTTAAAATTGGCACCAAAAACAATTAGGTTTTCTCCATGTAGCTCAGTATGGCCTTGAACTCACTAAGTAGTTTAGGCTGGCCTTGAACTTACAGTGATTCCCCTGCCTCAGCCTCCTGAGTGCTAGGAGTGTGCCACCACACTTGGCCACATGCTCCTGATTTCTTGGTAGGTCAGGTCATCAGTTCTGGTCTTGTGATAGAGAACTTTAGCATGGGTGGTGCCATTTTTGTTTGGTCTAATGCACCTAGTGCATGAGCTCAGCCCAAAGTGATAGCCTTCCACAGATAGATTTTATTTAACAGAATTACTATGACCTCCCAAAGATAACTATATCCTAATCCCTAGAACCTGTGAATGTCACCTAATATGGCACAAGGGCTTCACAGATGTTGTTAATGGGAAGCTCGGTTCTTTTAGTGGTTTCCTGTTGTTTATAGAGGGCAGCATGTTTTCTGTGAAGATCTTTCTCAGGTCAAGCCTGACAGATGTGCAGAATTTGAGCTCTTCTTGGTCTCTCCAGGTGGGGTCTAAGTGCTGCTGCTAGTGTCCTGATAAGGACATTTATGGGAAACTTGGTCACAGAAGGCTATCAGATCAGTGAGGTTGAGAAAAACTGCAACAAGCTTGTTGCTGGCTTTGAAAATGGAGAAGAGGCCAAGAGCACAGGAATGCAGTTCTCCAAGCAAAGAAGTCCCTGCTGGGCCCGGGAGCCTGCAGGGAGATTCAAACCCTGCAGCCCTCTTGGCTGTTGCCCTAGGAAACTCACTCCAGACTTTGGCCTCCAAAAGTAAAAAAGAATACATTTCTTTGGTTTTGAGCCACTAAATTTGTGATAATTTTTTTTTTTTTTTTTTTAGAACTGGGGATTAAACTCAGGCACTTGCGCTTGCCAGAGAATTGCTTATTCTACTGAGCCATCTCCCTGGCCCCCAGTTTGTGGTAATTTGTCACAGCAAGCATAGATGACAATACTCTATTCATGTCCAAGCAAATATTTATTTATACATGCAAATTCTTCCTTATGCCTCTTCCCCAGTTTTTGTTGCTGCTGTGGTGGGTTTGCTTTGTTTTTAGCTTTTTT